ACCCCTTAACTGTGGTTTCTGTCGTGGATGACAGATGACAGGCGGGGCTGCCAGTGACTGTGCAGGGGGTGTGAGGAGGCGCTCGGCCCACAGAGCGGCCCTGCCCTGGCCGTGGTCTGGGGCCACACCGTCTGTCTGGCCTTCGGGGTGACTACGGGTACTCTGACCATGGGGCATTGGCCCCTGTCCCCCTCCTCGTTCAGTCTCCTTCTCCCTTCATCCCTCGGGGCCTCTGCCAGGTCCCTGGAATCCCTGTTTGAGGAGCTCGTCAGCCAAGGCTTTCTGAAGAAGAGTGAGATGGTGCCCTTGAGCAGCTACCTTGGTGAGCGCCGGCCCGCCCCAGCCCGCCCTGGCCCGCCCCTGCAGCCGGCCTTCACCCCCTGAAGTGAACCTTCTCCTGCCTGCCCTGGGCTGGGGAGTGGGGTCCACTCACCAGGTGGCCGCCTGTCCTGCCAGGTGACTGCCTCTACCTTGGGACCACGCTGAGCCTAGCACACAAGCTGCCGATGCCGTCCCTGTTTGACACGCGGCAGAACGTGGCCTTGTATGCGGTCCTCCGGCTGGGTGAGAGGCCCTGGGGAGAGGAGCCAGCACGGCAGGTGCTCTCGGGAGCCCGGGCTCAGGGGAGGGTGGCCAAGGCGGGCCCGTGCGGCCTGGCCTGCGGTCCCCAGCGCCACTTGCCACGGGCCCTGCTGAGGCCACACCCGGAGTGAACCCCTGGCTCGGGCCCAAGTGGCATCCATGGTCTGTCCCTTCCCCGCCCTCTACACACACTCACGGGAGTCCAGCGTCTTTGTGAAGTCACTGGCCACGCATCCTTTAAGTCTACCCATTTGTGACCCAGGAGCGGAAACCACAGGCCGTCAGAGGAGGACAGGGCGCCGTCCCGACACCCCCACAGCTCTTGGGAGTGGGGTTGCTCAGCTATCCGAACTCCCTAGGCTGCCTCTTTGGGTGTGCAGCCTAGGGGGTTGCCCAGACCTTCGACTGGGGCTCGCCTCACACCCCATCTCCACCCCGGCCCCCTGTTGGCCCACCCCCTGCCTGTGGCCCGTTTCTTCTCAGGCTCCCCAGACATACACGCCATGGCTCCCCTCATCCGCTCCATCCTTCTGGTGGGCCCCTCTGGCATGGGGAAGAAGATGCTGGTTAAGGCCGTGTGCACAGAAACCGGTGCCAACCTGTTTGACCTGTCACCCAGCAACCTGCAGGACAAGTACCCTGGCAAGGCCGGGGTGCAGATGCTGGTGCACATGGTCTTCAAGGTCTGACCTGGGCATCTCCCACTCGCAGACGGCGCGTCAGAGCGGGGTGGTGGGCTCTGTCTCCCGGGCTCGCCCACCTGCCTGGGGCTTGGCTTAGGGGCTGGGCCGTCTCCCTCCCAGCCCTACTCTAGCCGTGGACGAGGCCCGGGTCCCCGGGTGGTGGGGGCGGAGCACGCAGAGATGAGGCCTCGCAGTAGCCCCCGCACGGGAGGGCAGGGCTCCCTTCCCCTGGGGTGTGATGGCCACGCAGGGGGCTTGCAGAGGCGGAGCCCTGAGGCGCGCTGATGCCCGAGGCCAGCCCTGGCCCTGGGCTGGGCCAGGTGGGGGGGTAGCCCTACAGTCTGACACTAGGTTTCCGCCCCTGGCCTGTCAGGTGGCTCGGCTGCTCCAGCCCTCTGTGATCTGGATTGGGAACGCGGAGAAGAATTTCTACAGGAGGGTCCCGAAGGAAGAGAAGGAGGTGAGGGGCGTGGGGAGCCCGGGCCAGTCAGGTCGCTGCCCCCCAGCCCCCCTCCCCCGTCGCCCCGTCTTCCTCCTGCCTTTTCTTCTCAAGGCAAGACTGAACCTCCCAGGGCCCACGGGGTGGGGGGCGTGTGAGTGTGGCGTGTGCTCTGAAAACCTGAGAAACCCGTGAAAGCCGCCGTGTCCCCAACGCCCTCCCTCCCCAGAGCAGATGGACCCAAAGCGAATCAAGAAGGACCTGACCAGGGCCGTGCGGCAGCTGGCTCCGGGCGACCGCGTGATGCTGATCGGGACCACCCAGCAGCCGCAGCTGGCCGAGATGAAGGGCTTGTGCCGGATGTACGAGCGCATCCTCTTCATGCCGCGGCCCGACTACGCCTCCCGCTATGGTGAGGCCCGGCCACGCGGGCACAGGTCAGAGGGTAGGGATGTCCCTCGCAGCTCCCCACTCCTCTCATCCCTCACTGCTGCTGCCAGCCCGCGCTTCCACGGCCGGGCATGCAGGAAGTGCTGCGTGATGGGCAGCCGGCGGCCTGGGTGCTGGCGGCTCTGTGGACGTTCAGACCTCAGTGGTGGGGGAGCTGGCTGCTCTCTAGAAGCACAAAGCTCAGCCCGGATGCAGGTGGAGGCACCCACAGCCGCTCCCTGCCCGTGGCTTCCCTGTGCCCACAGTGCTCTGGAAGCAGATGCTGGAGGCCCGGAAAGTCCAGGTGACCAAGAGCCTGGACATCAGCGCCCTGGCCAAGGTGTCTGATGGCTACACACCCGGGCACATTCACGAGGCCGTCCAGGCGGTGCTGACAGACCGGCGGCTGCTGCTCCTGAACAAACAGCCTCTTGCGGCCTCCGAGTTCCTGGGGCACCTGGTCAAGCAGGAGCCGGTGTACAGGGAGGAGGAGGAGTCCCTGAAGGTGAGGCTTCTGGGGGGGCAAGGGGGGGGTGGTGAGCCAGCACCAGCCAGAGGGGGGCCTCCCTCTGCCCCCACCAGAGTCCAGCTGGAAAGGGACCACAAGGGACAGGAAGGCGCGGGCTGGGGCCGTGGGCTCAGGCTGTGGGTAGGGCCACTCACAGGCTCCTCGAGGGTGGGGACCCCAAAGGGCCACCTGTGTGTCAGGAGCTGCGCCCACTCCCGCCCCTGGCTTTATGCCCACCTCTAGGGGTGGCACGATGGCTATGGGCTCACCAGAAAGAGGGTTCCCAGGGGAGGGAGCAGGGGGCACCCCAATTCTAGCTGAACCCCAAGAGAAAGACTGCAAGGACCTGCCCTAAGCCGGGAAGTGGTGAGTGGGGTTGGGAGGCAGGGCCCAGGCAGACCCCATGGGCCTCTGTCCTCCCCACCGCCCCAGGACTGGTACTTCAAGACCCCTCTGGGCAAGAAGAAGATGAAACTCAGCAGTGAGCAGGACACCGAGGACACCAAGCTAGCAAAAAAGAAAAAGTGACAGGGCGCCAGGTGGTGCCTGAGACCCTGGCACTGCCCTGTGGGCGGGGGGCCAGCGGGCAGAGGCATAAATGCCCAGATGGCTCGGGGTCTAGCTCTCGGCCTGTCTCCATACTTCCTGCCCCTGCCTGTGCCGGTGCCCCCTGGCACCCCCTCCCAGTCTCAGTGCCCAGAGGCCTGTCCTCTGACCCACCATCTTCATCTCCTGTCATTGCTGTGTCCTGCCCTCTGCCCTTAGGGATTTAAGGGAGAACAACAGGAAGAGGAGAAGAGAGGGGCGAGGGAGCGGGAGGGAGGCTTCCAGTGAGTGCAGGAAAAGGAGAGAATCTGGAGGTGAGCAGACCTGTCTCCGCTGTGGCCCCACTGTCCTGGGTGACCTTCCCTGCGCCTCCGCTTCCTCACCTGCAAAGCGGGCAGAGACTGGACCAGCCAACGGCTGTGGCCCTTCTCTGGGGTTTGGTAACCCTGCAGAAGTGTCTGGGGGGCCGGGGCTGGGCGGGCTTGGGGACCTGTGGGCCGTGCCTTCTCTGGAGCAGCTCCACTTGCACAAGCTCTGCGGCCTCCCTCTGCCCAGAGCCGCCCTGTGGGGCTGAATGGGATGCAGCGAAGGGCCTCTGTGGGCTCCCCTATTGGGGAGAGTAAAGCTGTGGGGACCACAGTTGGGGAACTCGGGGAGCTGGGGGCAGCCCTGCCACCTCCGGCTGGGAGCGTGGGTCCTCTGAGAAGCAGTGTGGGGCGTGTGTGTGAATCAAGGCCAGGGTGTGTTCCCTGGGCCACAAGGGCTGAAGACCAGACCAGGCGGCCCCCCCGGGGGGTCAGGCCAGCCCAGCCCAGAGCCCCGTGAGGCCCATGTTGGCTGAGGCCAGGGGCGGGGTTTTGAGTTTTTCTCTCTTTTTCCCTTTTACATCCCCAAATGCTAATGTGCCTAAATAGGCAGCCCTCCGCCCCCCATCCTCACTAGCTGAGACCCTCCCACTGAGGGAGATGCTCTGGGAGGCCCAGGGCCTGCGGGCGGGCGCTGTCACCTTGATTTATACCCAGATAAGGTCAGGCAGGTCCAGGAACCTGCAAAGAGTCTACAGTTGCCCCCAGACAAATACCCAGAAAGGGCGAGGGAGTTCAAGAGCTGGCACGCGGAGGGCCGGCGGAAGAAGGCATGGGTGATGGAGAGGGACCCTCCCCACCAGAAAGAGACCGTCAAGACGCAGGCTTTGCTGCGGGCAGCTCTCCAGCTCCCTACCAGCCTTGTAGCTGCTCCCTAATGAACTGTTGCTCACGTAATTTTGTGCCGGAGTGGAGCGCAGGGACAGCACCAGGGATGGGCCTGAGGGTACGTCCCGCTCTCCCGGGGCAGGAATCTCTCTACCCACGAACCCCTGGAGACAGGCGGAATGGGGTTCCTCTGCCGGGCGCCGCCTCTCTGAGGCTTGTGCCTGAGCTGCTGTTACACTCAGCACCGTGCCTGCTGGAGACCAGCCTCGGGAACCACACGGCCACCAGAGGAGCCTGAGGCTGCAGGCCCCGGCTGCCCAGCCTGCTCTGACTGTTTCCCTCCCCTGCCATGTCCCAGGCTGACACCAGGTCCCTCTTAACCCTGCTGTGCACGACTCTGGGCGAAGCTCAGGCTTGGAAGTTCGAGGTTCCCCTCATTCTTCCCTCCAGGCCCCTCCCTAACTCCCACTCCCAGCCTGAGGCCTCTCCCTGCCCTGACAGCTGGGGGCTATTTATGGCAGGGCCCGTGTGCTCCCGCCCCGCCCGCCCTGGCCTCCTCCGGGGCCCAGTGCCCTGAGCAGTCCTGAGCACGGCTTCTGTGACTCTCCCAGAAACTGGCCATGCCTGGGAGAAGGAGCTCCCCTCCGCGCCGGGGACCCCACCAGGGCTGCCTCCCCGCGGGCCCCGCCTGCTTGGTCTGGGGAGCTCGGTCCCAGCCGGCCCGGGGCCCCCCTCGGTCACCGCTGCTGTGCCGCGACATGGCCCTGCAGAACGCCCTGTACACCGGGGACCTGGCGAGGCTGCGGGAGCTCTTCCCCCCGCACAGCACGGCCCACCTGCTGCTGGAGAGCCGGGCTGCCGAGCCTCGCTGGAGCAGCCGCCACCCAGGTGAGGGCGCGGGGAGGAGGAGCGCCCGGGCAGGGGGAGCAGGCTCTTACGGAACAGAAGCTGTCCTGGCTGTTGCTCTGGCCCTGGAGCTGGCCTCAGCCTTGGCCCTGGAGGGAAGTCATGTGGAGCCCAGAATAGCTCCGCTGAACTGCGCGGCGGGTCAGACAGTCTAGGGACAGAGACCCCCCCACCCCCGTGTCTGTCGGGGTGTCCTCCTTGCGCTCCTTCTCTCTGCCTTTGGCGCCTAGCTCTCCCTGCCCCAGCACCCCCCAGTGCTTACACTCTGTCCTCATGAGCTGGTCCCCAGAAGAGTGCAGGGGGCAGGGAGAGCCCCGCGATGACAGACACAACACCCTCTGTGCCAGGCTGGTGGAGCGGCCCAGCGGCGGGTCCCCTGAGCGCCCGGAGTCTGGCCCGCGCCCCATCGCCACCCGCACGGCCTCGGGAGCTGCCCTGGCCTTCTGGCAGGCGGTGCTGGCTGGGGACGGGGCCTCTGTCTCCCGCTTACTCGCCGACTCCAGCACGGGCCTGGCTCCGGATTCCGTCTTTGACACCAGCGACCCAGAGCAGTGGAGGGATTTCCGATTCAACATCCGCGCTCTGAGTATGGGCCGGGGCACCGGGGGGAACACGGGGGCCTGAGTGGGAGAGGGGAGGCTGGGGACGGAGCTCTGGGCTCCCTCTTTCCGGCCGCTGCCCACTGCCCTCATTTTCTGGGAATGCCTCGCCTCCAGCTAGGGCCTGAGCCCATGTTCCTCTCGCCCTAGGACTCTGGTCTCTGACATATCAAGAGGAGCTGACCACCCCACTGCATGTGGCTGCCAGCCGGGGCCACACAGAGGTCCTGCAGCTGCTACTGAGACGGCGGGCCCAGCCCGACAGCGCCCCTGGGGGCCACACTGCCCTGCATGAGGCCTGTGCAGGGGGCCACGTGGCCTGTGTCCGTGTGCTGCTGGCAGCGGGAGCAGACCCCAACATCCCTGACCAGGATGGGAAACGCCCCTTGCATCTGTGCCGGGGGCCTGGCACCCTTGAGTGAGTGGCACCCCTACACCATTCCATTTTTAGGGGAGACCAAGAGAGGACCTTGGGGGTTAGGGGTGCATATCAGGAGGTGGCAGGCCTGGGGGGCTGGTCTGGAGGAGCTAGGGCTGGGTGGGGGGTCAGGATGAGATTACTCCCCAAAGCATCAACCAACCACTGGCCCTTTGGGGCTTGGGACACCTCCGCCCCGGGGCAGGGCGGGGGCACTCAGGCAACGACCTGGCTGCACACTGAAGGTGTCTGTAGCCATGCAGGGAGGTGTGTGAAGGCTTGATATCTTCTGAGCTTTTCCTGGCATGGTGCTAAATGAGTGTAACAGCAGCTCAGGCACAAACCTCAGAGAGCAGATTGTCCAAGAAGAGACGGCCCGTAAAAGACCCTGGTCCCCAATTTGGGCCATCGTGGTCCCCACGGGCAGGGCAGGCTTCTCAACCTGACAGGACTGGCCTTTCCACACTGGCAGGTTACAGTGTTGTGTAACCATCGCCTGAACCTTTATCATCTTGCAAAACAGAAACTGGCCCCACTGAACACCAACTCCCAAGCCTTCTTCCCTCAGTCCCTGGCACTGCCATTTGTTCTGTCCCTGACTTTGATAAGGTAGGCACCACATAAACATGGAATCACACCGTATTTCTTTGTAGTGACGGGCTTATTTCACTCAGCACTGGCAGGGGCACCCTCAGGTAGCGGCTCAGGGGCTGAGCCCAATGAGCCAAACTCACAGGAAACAGATGGATAGACCCACACATGGCAATGTGTTCCTTCTGGTGGGAAAGTTCCTTTGCTGTGACCCGAGTAACTACACCCTACGTGGAGGACACCTTGGAGAACGAGTCCTCACTTAAAACATTTTGATGAGCGTGGAATCTGGCAAAGACCATGGCGCATGTCTAAAGTGACGACATGCAATGGAGCCCCTCTCCAGCGGCGCACCAGGCTCGCTGCACATCTGCCCAGAGCAGCCCGAGCCTCTGACCTTGGCTTCCCTTCCATGGGCCTCCTCCCTCCTGCTAGCCCAGCAGCCTGGGCTTAGCCACGTGGGTTAAAGTGGGGGCTACACCTGCTAGAAAGATAGCACGAGGGGCCTCCCTGGTGGTGCAAGGGGTTAAGTCTCAGTGCCATGAAGCTATCAGCAGCCACTGCAGCACGAGTTCCATCCCTGGCCGGGGAGCCGACCCACATGGCGCAGCAGACCTCTCCTGTCTCCCCGCTGCTCCCCTCAGCAGTGTATTTCAGTGGATCCGCCTGGTCTGATCCCCACTCTGTCTCTGGGGAGTCCTCTCACCCCCGACTCCCTGCACCTCTGGCCTGCACCCCAGCTCTTGTATGCATAAATAAATAAAATAAATCTTTAAAAAGAAAAAAGAAAGACAGCACAGGGCCCGTACATGATTTAAAATGCTCCTGTCATCCTACCAAAAACAAAAAGCAGGTGGATTTTTTTTCCATTGTGTAAAATATACAGACTGTAAAAGCGACCATCCCAACCATTTCCAGGAGCACGGGTTAGGCACCAAGGACATTCACAGTGTTGTGTAACCACCATCGCCTGAACCTTTATCATCTTGCAAAACAGAAACTGGCCCCACTGAACACCAACTCCCAAGCCTTCTTCCCTCAGTCCCTGGCACTGCCATTCGTTCTGTCCCTATGACTTTGATAAGGTAGGCACCACATAAACATGGAATCACACCGTATTTCTTTTTAGTGACGGGCTTATTTCACTCAGCATATCGTCATCCTCAGGGTTCACTCAGTGAGAAGCATGTCAGAATTTCCTTCCTCTTCAGGTGTTAATAATATTCTATTGCATGTTGCTGCCACATTTGGTTTATCCACCCATTATTTCGTGGATGCTTACAGTGCTCCCACATTGGGCTGCTGTGAGCACTGTTGCGATGCACGTGGTGTTCAGCCACCTGTGAAACGGGTGAAATTAATTTTAATAATATATTCTATTTAACACAATAGATCAGAAACGTTAGCGTGGCAACATGTAACTGATAGAAAAAATTAACGAGGTATTTTACATTCTCCTTTTGCACCAAAATCGGTGTGTATTGCACACCACAGCACTTCTCAGTAAGCACAAGCCTGATGGACATGCACATGGCCCCTGGCCACGCCCGGCGGTGATCATTCCTTTTCTAGAGGAAATAAATGTTTCTAAACATCTAGTCTTAAGAGAAGTGGGCAGGGTGGTCTAATGACCCCTCCCTTATCCCACCTGCACCTGCTCCCAAGCCGGACGCGGCCAGGGCGAGCTCCTGCAGACAGCTTTGCAGGTCCTTGTCCTATGCCGCCTGCAGCTACCTCACCAGGTCCCCAGGGAAGGAGTGTTCCCCATTCCACGGATGTGAAAACTTGAATTTTGGTGCGCATATCCTTATAGGCAGGGGCGACCTACTGGAAGCTTAGAGCAAATCTGAACAATTTTGGTTTTGATGTTTCTCCCGCTGCCCCCACTTCTGTTCATGCCCATGGCCAGGTCCCTGCCCCCTTCCCCTCCAGTGCCTGCATGCAGAGGCCCCAGCTGCCCTGCTGCCCCGAGGCCCAGTTCCTCCTCTGTGACCTCAGTTTCCTCACCTGCCTTGCCCTGGGAATGCCGAGAGTGAATGCCCGAGAGCACGGAAGGCCTGTCCTAACAGCGCTCACAGCTGCTCGTGGCTGGTAGTCCCAGTGAGGGTGTCGGCCCTGTTGATCCTGCGCAGAGTCCCCGGGATGACTGGCACACAGAACGGAGGGCGAGAGACAGCAGGCCGGAGTCAGTCACGGCTCACCATTGCTCTGATCGGAGCAGCAAGGAGGCAGGGGTGCACCTGTTTTCTCCCCGCTGCTGTCTTGCCCTCACTAGGTGTACAGAGCTGCTCCTGAGGTTTGGGGCCAGCGTGGATGGTCGGTCTGAGGAGGAGGAAGAGACGCCCCTGCACGTGGCCGCCCGGCTTGGCCATGTGGAACTGGCAGAACTACTTCTACGACGGGGGGCCTGCCCCAATGCCCAGGATGCCGAAGGCTGGACCCCGCTGCTGGCTGCCTGTGATGTCCTCTGCCCGTCCCCGGCCACCGCCAAAGCCACCACCGCCCGCTGCCTCCAGCTGTGCCACCTGCTGCTCGCAGCCGGAGCCGACGCCGACCACGCCGACCGGGACAAGCGGCGGCCCCTGCACTTGGCCTGTCGCCGTGGCCACGCGGCGGTCGTGGAACTGCTCCTGGCCTGTGGGGTCAGTGCCAACGCCATGGACTATGGGGGACACACCCCCCTGCACTGTGCTTTGCAGGGCCCGGCGGCAGCCCTGGCCCAGACCCCGGAGCGCGTGGTGCAGGCTCTGCTCAACCACGGCGCCGTCCGAGTCTGGCCCGGGGCCCTCCCCAAGGTACGGGGCTGGGGACGGAGGGAGGGCCGGGCTGTGCTCCCGCTTGCGCTGGACGTGGCCACGCTTGGCGCTGGGGCAGTTCCTGCTCTCATTTGACAAGTGGAGCCTGAGTGGGGCAAGCGAGCGCACACCAGCTTGGAAGGGTGTGTGTGTGCACGTGGGGGGGTGTGCACAAGTGTGCAAGTGTGAAGAAGGTGACCCAAGGGGAGAGGTCAGATTATAAAGGTCTGGAAAGACAGGAGGTGCAAGGGCTGAAGGGGCAGCAAGGAGTATTCTCATCAGGGGGGCCAGCTCGTGAAAGGGGTGCTAGGGAGCCCCACCGGGCAGCGGGTCCCACTCAGGGAGATGCTCAGGGCACAGGGGCAGCTCCCCAAGGGTAGAGCCATGAGCCCCGTCCCAAGGTTCCAGGTCTCCTGACCTGCTCGCGGGTGTGGTTCTGGTTTGGTCAGGACACGCGTCACCCAGGCCAGGAGCCGTTCCGACACCGGAGAAAACCCCTTTGACCGTCAACTTCCCACCTGCCTTACTTTACATTCACTTCCCCAGAGTGGGTTCACCTTGAGGCCTGTGCTATGGGGCCCTGGTGGGGGGCCTGTCCCGTGCTGTGTTTTGGAGAAGCCATGATGTCGGGGGAGCTCAGGACCTGGTTGGGGTCCCATGCTCTCCGAGAAGCTGGGTCGGGACTGATGCGGCCGTGGGCAGGACCCCTGCCCCACTCCAGGCTGGTGCCCCTGGCCCTGGCCAGCCCTGGCTTCCTGCCTCGCCCCTTCACTCACAAACCTAGAAGCATCTGTCTAGATTCCTAAGCAAGACCAAATAATTAAACAGCCCGAGAGTTCGGCAGATTGGTCTCCCCTTTGGGAAAATACAAGAAAATCAACAATTAACACTAATTAATCTCCTATTAACACCAGATAATTAGGAGACGAGCAATTCCCTGTAATCTGACGGCGGCTCTGACAGCTAATGATTTCCCTGTCAGGGAGGGGTGGGAGGAGGCAGCGGAACAGCACACGGGTTTTCTGGGGCCCCGCTGCCGGCCCCCGCTCTGCCCTGCCTCGGGGACCCAGGGGGCTGGCACAGCAGGGCACCCCGCCCGTCCTCGCACCCAGGCGCCACGTCCCAGGTGGTCAGTACACACAGAAAGGAGTCGGCCTCCGCCTCCCTCCTCTGCAGCTGCTCGGGCCTGGCTGGGGCGCCTGTCCCAGGGTGGGGGGCGCCTCCCGGCAAGGGGCCCCACAGCCCAGCCGCTCCTGCAGCTAGCTCCCCAGGACCTCCGTCTGGACTGGGTGCTTGCGAGGACCTCGGCTCTGGCTTGGGTGCCGTTCATGTGACCACAGGCAAGTCCCTGGGATTCTCTGAACCGAGAGGACTGCCCGTGACATGGCACCATCCCGTGACGAGCAGCGGGCAGTCGTGGGCGCAAGCACAGCAGGCTCCTCTACAACCTGTCCCTCAGTCTTCCTGGCCACCTCTGAGTAGGGGGTGACTCATCGTGCAGACTCCTGAGCCAGGTGCTCGGCCTGTGTGGCCCCCGGCAAGTCGCTTCCCTCCAGCCGGCTCCTCACCTGTGAGACAGGGACGCAACGGGAGGCCCGCTCCCGAGGGCTCCTGGGAGACCAGGCTTGATCACAGGATTGAGTTAGCGCTGGCGGCCTGGTGGGGTGGCTCTGAAGTTAAATAATGTGTGCGGAAGCTCGTGGACAGCTGTTGGGCACCACCCCAATGTCGGGAATCCAAGGGGAGTGCCATGCAGGAGGGCTCCTGGGGGGACGGGCGTGGGCTGGGCAGGCTTGGAGAGAAAGGAGGCAGCATCTGGGCAGGGCTCAGCAGAGTGGCCCCAAAAGCCCGTCTCCCTGGCACAGGGTTCTCTCCTTTTAAAAGTTGGCTCAGAACAGACGGGTGACGTCGTCTGTTGTGACCAGGCCAGTCATTGCGTCGTCTTCAGTCCCGACAGCGGGTGGGGGTCACTCTGGTGACCACCGCCCAGATGCGGGGTAAGAGGCAGAGGGCCTTGGGCTCAAGTTCCTCATGTGTAAAATAGGGGAAGAGGGAGAGAGGGCTTCCTCCTGGGCCCCAGGCCTGGACCAGACTTCCACCTGCTTCCATTACCCAGCAGTTCCCGGCACAGGCAACACTCCCCACCTACCAGTAACAGGATCTCTCTCCCTATAGGCAGGAGGATGAGGAAGGCAGCCTGGGAGATGGCACCATTCTCAGATTTTACAAAGGGCCTGTGGCCACTGCCTATAGCTTGAGATACAGCAAGAGATGGAGTGGATGAAGCATGGGTCTGCTGGGAGCTATTACTTGCAGCCATGGGGGTGGGTGGACTATGTGTGTCCAGCTGCCTCTCTGGTCACAGGACAGATCCCCCTCAGGCTGCCCCCTTCCTCAGGCATGGCTCACCACTCACCGTATCCTGCCACCTCCCTTCTGGACCACCCGTCTCGGACAGTACCCTCTCCAGCCACGCTTAGGCCTGAGTCTACTGCTTTTGCTTAAGAGCAGCAGATCTGCAAGGGGTCTCTTCCCTCTGAAAGAGAAGCTCCCAGCTGACCAGGATCTGACTGTCTCCTCATTGCCAGGTCCCCAGTGCTCCCCCGTAGTGGAGCTCAGCAAATGTTTGTTGAGCAAAGAAATGAAAGAATGAACCTGTTTCCAACTTGATCCCCTTCCATCCAAGAAAATCCTGCAGGAACCTTGAAGAGGCAGATGGTAGAGATAGTGTTGGAGGCTGGAAATTCGAAACCCAGCTGTCAGCAGGATTGGGTCTGCCTGGCAGTGCGGAAGGACTCAGCTTCAGGCGAGTCCGGCAGTCCTTGGCTTGCGGGCACATCCCTCAACCTCAGCCTCCACTTCCTCACTGTGCATCTGTCTCACTGTTTTCTTGTAAGGACACCGCCATGTTGGATTAGGACCCTCCCTAATGACCTCATTTAACTTGATCACCTCAGCAAACACCCTGTTTCTAAACAGGTCACATCATAGGAACTCAGGTTAGGATTTCATTGTGGGGGATTCAGTTCAACTCCCAATATCCATCTGTCCTATTGCTGTCCTGTCATGCTTTGTGGACCGACCAAGGGACTCATCCTGTGGGGTGACTCGAGACACTCTGACTGGGGCTGCCTCCTCCAGGTGCTGGAGCGCTGGTGCAACTCCCCGAGGACCATTGAGGTCCTGATGAACACGTACAGCATCGTGCGGCTACCCGAGGAGGCCAGGGCTCTGGTGCCTGCCGAGACACTGCAGGTCAGAGTCTAGGACCCTGAACACACAACCACTTGCTCAGCCATCCCTGAGATGCCCACCTCCTGAAAGGTCTGCCCACCATAGGATTCCCCCCTCTCAGGACCTCAGAATTACCCAGAGCCCTGCTCATGTCCCTGGAGGAGAAAACTCAGTGACCACCCAAACCCAACATGTAAGAGGCTCCTGCAGACACCCACTGGCTTCCTGCCTTTAGGAGGAGTGGGTGCCACTTATCCAAGGCTGCCTCACTGACCCCCTCCTTCTGCCCCCAGAAGCACCACCATTTCTACTCCTCCCTCTTCGCCTTGGTGAGACGGCCCCGGTCACTGCAGCACCTGAGCCGCTGTGCACTGCGCGCTCACCTGGATACCTGCCTGCCCCACGCCCTGCCCCGCCTGCCGCTCCCGCCCCGCCTGCTCCGCTACCTGCAGCTGGAGTTTGAGGACGTGCTGTACTAGGTGAGTCCTGGGTTCTGTGGGACCATCCCAGCCAGCTGGGGATGGGGCATGGGGAGGAGGCAAGGGAAGAGTTGGTGGCAGGGCCCTGGTCAGACTCCAAGCCTCTCCTTCCAGATGCCCACTGCTTTTGGGGAGAGCCTGAAAGCAGACGCCCCAGAGGGTTCCGGCCTGCTTCTCCCAGCACCCTGACCCAGGGCTGAGTTGAACGCACTCACGTCGAGGTGGACCTCTCAGCACACCCCCTCCACATAGCTGCGGACGCCTCCATCCCCACCTGGGAGAGGTGGACAGGCTGTACAGCCAGGTGATGTTTGAGGGCAAGAGCTGGGACTCATGGGAATCAACACACTGTGCTGGGGGTCACCTGAGCTATACAACCCTATCCATGCATTAAAAGCCTCCAGCCCATGCCGCTGGTACTCTCCTTCCTCTGCGCTGGCTCCCTCTTGGGAGACTCAACATGGGCCAACTTCAGGGTCCCTGGTTGTGCCCCCAGCGCCGGCTGCATCCACCAGCTGCTGGGGGCTCCCTGGCAGACCTGCCCCTTTTGCCTGTGACTTGGCCACGAGGTCAGAGTGGCAGCAGAGGGAGCTGCAGGACAGCCAGCTAGAGGATGGGCCCGCGGAGAGGCTTGGGGGGTGCCAGGCACCGTGGAATGATGTGCTGCAGGCAGTGGGGCAGGACAGCAAGGCAGCTTGGGGTCGGGAGGTGAGGTAAGGGGCAGGAAAGCCAAACAGAAGGTGGGCGCACCTGTTACGGGTATGTGGAGGAGGAACCCTGGTTCAGGGGAGAGTGAAAGACCCAGGTTCAAAAAAACCCAAACCCCAACGCAAACCAACTCGCCCTACGGCCTGTCCAGTGGGGCGGGAGTGCAGGCCGCCGCGCACCTGGCTGTCTCTGGCCCTGGCCCTGTGTCTCTCCTCCTGTCTCTTAGCTTCCCCGCAGCTGAGCCTCGCGCCCCATCCCTGGCTTCCAGCCCCAGCTCGGCCATTAGCTGCCGGAACAGAAGTCTCTCCCCGCTCTGCGCTCAGGTTTCCACATCTGCAGAACAAGAGAAGGGAGAGCCCCGAGGGTCTCTGCAGTGTTAGCGTTTTCAGAACCCGCGGGAAGCCCCAGCAGCCAGGAGCCCGCAGGCAACACGAGGGGGGCGTGACGCGGCGGGTGGTGGAGCTGACAGAGGGTCGTAGAGCGAACGGCCAAACGCACTGTCGTCCGCAAGGGTCGCGGGACAGATGTTCCAGGACACTGGAGTGCGCATGCGCGAGAGCTCACGCCTTTCCCGCCAACAGTTGGGCGCATGTTGGTGAGGGGCGAGGCTAGCGGGGCTTCAGGGCCGGGTGGGGCCTGGAGGGCGTGGGGGGCGGGCCTGGGTGGTGTGGGCGGGGCCTGAGTGGTGTGGGTGGGGCCTGGGTGGTGTGGGGCGGGGCCTGGTGGTGTGGGTGGGGCCTGAGTGGCGTGGGTGGGGCCTGGGTGATGTGGGGCGGGGCCTGGTGGTGTGGGCGGGGCCTGGGTGAAGGGGCGGGGCCTGGGTGAAGGGGGCGGGGCCTGGGTGCGGGCACGAGTCGGCGGTGACGCGATGCCGCTGGAGCGCGCTGTCGAGGCGGCCGTTGAGGAGACGAGGCGCGGGGCGAGGTGAGCGGCCCGTTCCCGCCTGGCCCGCGGGCCTGGGGCTCCCATGGCGGGCCTGGGGCTCCCGGGGCGGGCGGCGCTGCGGGAGGGCCCCTGGGCGAGGGCGACCCCAGAACGGCGGGCGCCCCTGCCCCTCCCAGGCCCCGCGGCTTCCCGGCTCCGAGGCGCGGGCGGGCCTGGCTGGGCCTCCCGGGCCTGGGCCTGGCGTTCCTTTGCGCCCCGCGGGCCGAAGTCCCGGGCGCTGCCCGCGTGCGGGGGCGTGGCCCCTGCCCGGGCCTCCCCGCGGGCCCTCCCGGGCGGCCCGGGCCTGGGTGGCTCCCTCGGGGCCCCGGGCGCTCGGCCGGGCCGGAAGGGCCTGGAGGGCGGTGGGCGCGGGCCGTGGCGCGGCGCGGGGTGTCCTTGCCCCGGCCCCGGCCCCGGCCCCGGCCGCCGGCGCCCGCCCGCGGGCCCCCGGGAGCTGCGGGGCGGGGGCGGGGGAGGCCCGTGGCCCGCCCACGTCGCCCGGCCGGGGCTCCCCGACACGCGGGGGGGGAGCCCGGAGCCCGCGAGGAGCCGTGGGCGGTGTCCTTGCGCGGCCGAGCGGGCCGGGCCGGGGAAGGCGTCGCCCGGGCGCCTCGCCGGGGGTCCCGGGGTCCCCCTGGAGGGGCGCGAAGAGGCGCCGTGCGAGGCGCTGCGCAGGGCCCCCGGCGGGCGCGGCGGGACGCGGGCTGGGCCGGACAGCCCGGACAGCCCGAGCTCGCCGGCCGGGCGCCGCCTCCCGGCCTCCTGGCGGCGCGTCCCGCGGGCCCGCGCCGCTCCCGGTAATTGCTTTCCGTAATGTGTTTGCTCCAAACCAATTTCACGCCTCCGTGAGGACCCCGCCCCGCGCTCGAGGCGCGGACCTGCCCGCGCCGCGCCACCGCGGGCCACGCGCGCGCACACGCCGCCGGCGCGCGGGATCGCCGCGGACCCGGGCCGGGGCCGGCGCGGCCTGAGGACCTCCCGGCCGGCCCGCGGGCCCCGCGCCCCCGCCGCCCCTTCCCGGGCTCGCCGGCCGGGCCCTCGGCGCGTCTGCGGGGCCCACGCCAGGGGGCGCTGCGGCTCCCGCGCTTCTCGCGCACAGACGCGTGGCGCGCGGCCGCCACCAGAGGGCGCTCGCGGACAGCGCCCGCCGCGGCCCGCCCGCGTGGGCCCTCCCGCCAGCCCGCGAGGCGGAGGTTGACTTTGACTTTGGAATACTTCGTTCCTGGCATTCTCGGAACGGGCTTCCAGCCCACGAAGGGGAAGCCACATGATGGCGTCCGCTAGACGCACACGCAGAGCGTCGATTGAAAACAAAACTACTCTGCAGGAGAATTTCCCCAGTGGGTGTAGCGAGCGTGGGACAAGTCAGAGCCTGTGGACAATTCAAGAAGCACCTGTGAACCTCACTTTGGATAATGGTGGGAGCCGTTTAGCTACAGTGTTGGGGGTTCAGTGGAACAACAGTTTGGTAAAGAAAGGAGTCAGCCTTCCTTATGCAGATTGGAGAGCGACAGCTTCTGTCCTTGGTACTGATGGGCGAGTAAGAAGCAGATTTGGGGACTTCCATCCTTGGCCGCTCAGCTCTGCTTTGTCCATTTAGTGCAAGAACACATTTTTGACAGGCGTTTCCTCTTATTCATTAGATCCTCGCACCTGCACCTGCTTTTTGACCAGGCTAGAGAATAACCTGGAGAAGTTCAATCAAAGATGGTTTAAGGTCACCTGACCCAGTGAAGCGTCAGAACAGGAAGTTAACTACAGGCCTTCTAACTCCAGCCAATGCTTTTTTTCCATTTACCTTGCAGCCTAAGTTCCACGGTCCATGGAAGGGCAGGGAGAGGAAATGGGTCACTTCACTGTGTGTTTGAGGACTTTTATCCTAGTTGAGCTACAGAATGTCAAGCACTATGCATAAGTCACCCTTCATGACTCCAGCATGGCAAGTTAACAGATTAAAGGTATAAACGAATTATAAAATAGCAGTATCTAATAAATATACCCTCAACCAGGGCAAAACAAAGTCCCTGGGGTCTCACTTGCTGCTTTCAGAGTTGGTGGCCCACTGGGATTTGTTGGCAACAAGCTTTAAGCCTGTACTCTGTGTTAGCTTGAGCAGAGAATTCCACCTTACTGAGTATGGTTCTGGGCTATAAACTTTTGACTTGAGCTGGGTGACATACATCTTCAAGATCAGGGGGTCTTTTCCCCTGGAGTCCTTGACAATACCTGATCCATTCCGTCCCATCAGAGAGAGACAGGCTTATTAAAGTCACCTTTTGCAGGAGGGGATGTTGAGAGGGAAGTGTTTCAACATACAGCCTTTGTGCTTTTGGAATTTTGTATTATGTGACTTTATTATCTATGAAAAAATGAATGTAATTTTTAAAATGCCTCTTCTTTCATGCCTTATTTGATTGGTGCTGTTACTATTTGTAGTTTTAACTTCAGTGATTGTAGCTCAGAGGTCCTTCAGTTTTATCAGTTGAGTTTATTGGCCTGATTGAGTTTACGTGAATTAACTCAATAAGTCTCCACTCTGTATCCAAACACTGTAAGCTATCAAACACTGTAAGCCATCAAACCAGCTGGCCTCTTTTTTAAGTAAAAAACATTTTTGAAGTCTGGTCTTTCACATTGGTACTGTGAAGTTCTTGGTTAATTTAACAAAGGGTTATTCTGGGGGGAAAAAAAAAGAATCCTCAGAAGGATGCGCAAGAATTACCTTAGTACTTTAGTATTTGGGGGAGGGGGGTGTCCCAGACCTAAGTTGAGGCACCTCTTTTTCTTCAGGTGATGTCTTTCCACTAGATTCATCTTTTTGAAGTTTAACTGAGTTTAATGTAGAACCCCAGATAGATCAGGACTGCAGAGAAGTCACGCTCTTGTCTCTTCACCTTGCTCGTGAATCGTCGATCAAGTATAACTTAGTAACGCTCCCTTCTTGGGTCCTGCTCTTCTCTCACGCTGGCGACCGTGTCTTGCAGGGCGCTGAGTTTCAATACATCAGTCTGGCGTTAGCAGTGTTCGTTAGGCTAGCTAGTGCAGACTCATGAGCAGCGACACTGAACAAATATCCCTGAGGCCCAGGGCTCCCTCTTGCCCTGCTCTGTCTTGGCTCAGGAGCAGTGAGACTCTGTGGCGGAGGTTTTCCTCCTCACCTGAGCTGAAGCGCTTCCCCTAACCGAACTGCATGTCTGCTTGACTAGCTGCCTCTCCCTGAATCCAGCTCCCACCTGAATAACCACTTCCCGGTGACCAGGTGACCTGCACTTTAGCTGATCAGACTCCAGGCTCCTGAAGCTCGGTCGCTCTCACCCTGCTGGCTTGCCTATCTGCAGTCTTTTGTGGCTGCTGACCTGAGGCTTCTATCAAGTGAAAGTGCCCGTGACTTTTGCCTCCAGATTGACAGCTGTGCTGCTGGGAGCCAGGAGGAGGGGGAGGGTAAAAGGCGCCACCATTTCTGCGCCTGAGAATGGGGGAGGTGAGCAGAGTCATCCGCAATTAGCGGATAATTAGCGCGGCTGACCCTTGGGGCTCATCAGTGCTCCGGGGCCAGCCCCCAGCAATCAGCCAGGGCAGGTCGAGAGTGTCAGGCCCGGGAATGAATAGGGCTCATCAGCGTAGCTGAAGCTGGGAGCCAATCAGGGAAATTAATAGCGGAGAGGGAGAGGGAGGGCGGCAGACAGACAGACAGGCAGACAGAGGGACAGATATAGGTGAGAAATGAGAAAAAATAAATATGACGGACTGGGATAGGGAGCGGAAATCGGAGCCGCAGCCGAGAGGAGGCCCGGGATGGAGAGCGGGCGGGAGCGGGGAGCGGGGAGCGGGCGGCAGCAGAGCGGAGGCGGGGAGGGGGCGGCGGGAAGGTGGGGAGCGGGACGCACGTAGCCCGTGCGGGCGCCCGAGGAGGTCCCCCGGGGGTGCGGGGGGACTGAGCCCGAGGTGGAGGGGCAGAAGGAAGCAGGGGGGGCCGGGGCCGGGAGAGAGGCCGGGGGAGCAGCCTCGGCGGCGGCGGCGGACAAGGGCCCTGACGCCCGGGGCCCCGCGGGCCGAGCGCGCCCCCTGCCGCCCCCGCCTCGCCGTCGGGCCCGTGCGGCCCGCGAGCCCGCCCGGGGCGGGGAGGGGCGTCGGGGGAGGGTGGGGGGGCTCCCGCGGCGGAGGGCGCGGCCCGGGGCCGGGCGGGGGGCTCCCGCGGCGGGTCCAGCCGCCCGGCCGGCTCGGGGGCCGCCTTGCCCGCCGCCCGCGGGGCCCCGCCGGGCTGGAGGGGGCGGGCGGCCGAGGGGCACCGGCCGGGCAGCTGCCGCCGCCGCCTCGCGGGCCGCAAACTTTCACAAAGCGGCGCGTCCGGCTCATCAATCTCCATTACTGATAGTTGGTTGGGCCGCGGGGCGGGCGGGGTCCCGGGCCGGCCCCGAGCCGGCCTGCGCGGGAGCGGGAGCGGGGCCGGGCGCGGGCGGAGGGAGGAAGTGAAGCGTAATTTGAGGAAGATGGATGAGTCCGGAGGGCGACACCCCCAGCCCGCCCGCGCGCCCGCCCCCCCGCCTTATGAGCGCGAGGGAGCGCGGCGCGGAGCCACACTGCGCCGAGCGCGCCCCGCCGCCACCTCGGCCCCGGCCTGCGAGCGAGCGAGCGCTGCCAGCCCGCGCGGCGCCCGGAGGGGAGCGCCCCGGGGCGGCGGCGGGCACGATGCAGCGCGCGGGCGGCGGCGGCGCCCCCGGGGGCGGCGGGGGCGGCGGGGGCGGGGGCCCGGGCGCGGCGTTCTCCATCGACGCCCTGATCGGGCCGCCGCCGCCGCGCGCCGGCCACCTGCTCTACACCGGCTACCCCATGTTCATGCCCTACCGGCCGCTCGTGCTGCCGCCCGCGCTGGCGCCCGCGCCGCTGCCCGCCGGGCTCCCGCCGCTCGCGCCGCTCGCCTCCTTCGCCGGCCGCCTGACCAACACCTTCTGCGCGGGGCTGGGCCAGGCCGTGCCCTCCATGGTGGCGCTGACCACCGCGCTGCCCAGCTTCGCGGAGCCGCCCGACGCCTTCTACGGCCCCCCGAGCTCGCCGCCGCCGCCGCCACGGCCTCGCGCGGCCACCCCGAGCCCGGCGGCCGCCGCCAGGAGGGCGGGCCGGAGCCCGAGGAGCTGCTGCCGGCCCGCGAGAAAGTGTCGGAGCCGCCGGCGCCGCCGCCGCAGCACTTCGCGGAGACTTTCCCGAGTCTGCCGGGTAAGTGCCCGCGCCGGGCGGGGGGCGGGAGGCGCGAGGCGCGCTCGCGGGGACACCCGGACAGCGGCCGGCCCGGCCCGGCCCGGCGCCCCAGACGCCCCGCCCGCCCAGGGCCAGCGCCGGCGGCCGCCGCGGGGCCGCTTTAGGTCCCCCTCGCAGCGACGCGCCTCTGCGCCCCAGAACCCCGGCCCGCGGTCTCCAGCGTCCACGCCTCCCCGAGGACTTCCCAGCCCTCCCGCCCAAATTGGCGCCTTTCCTCCCGACGTCGGTCCAGGCTCCGCGCCCCGTGGCTGCTCCCAGAATGCCTTCATCCCGTTCCCTCTGCGGGAATAGAGAAGCCGCAAGTGTGAGATTCCCGGGGACACCAGCAAGACCCCAGGGCGAGGGCACTGCGAGGCACTGTCGGTTCAGTAAGGAAAGGACACTTTCTGGCGTCTGAGAAGACGGCGTCGACTCCCACGGGCGCCGGGGTGCAGGGGAAAGAGGCTGGCCGCAGTGGTGTCGTGTGGATGACCTGTCTGGACTTAGGAGGAAAAGAGACTTCTGAGCTGGCGGGTTTAGAGCGAAGCTTTGAAGAACTGAATTGGAGCCCTATTAGCTAGGGGGGGATAGCACCCCCTGGACCAAGGTTCCCTGGGAGGCCAAGAGAGAAGCTCAAGGCTGGGCTGGGGTGGGTGTGGCCCAAAGGCCTGGAGTCAAGAATCAAGCGAAGATTCTGGAACTAGTGAAATTCGACTCAGAGATAATGCAGGATGCCTGGATCCTCCTTAGCAGGATGCATTCTCTGCAGAGGCAGGGCGTACTCAGCGGGGCCCTGGTTAGAATCCGTCTACTTAGAGCCCTCTGGCCTTCCTATTGATCCTTCACCCCAGAAGTCAGAGCGTCTTTTCCCTGCTCAGGGGCAGCTCCAGGTGTGCTGAGCTTATACAATGTGATGGGCCTATTTGGGAAAAAATAGGAGCCGCATGCAAGTGGCTCCTAAAGCTTAAACTTCTTTAGCATCAGGATGAGTCTGCCTGTGCTTAATGATTCTTCCTGTCCAGCTTGGGAGGAAGTGACCCCCAAGGCACGGGACTGCCTTTGACCATGACAAGGAGGAGATCGGAGAGTCCTTTTGTCCTTTGCCAGGAGAGGGTAGTTCCTGTGGATAGGTCTCTGGCTGCCTCCTTGAAATTGCCTGAAGGCTCATCACTCTTCCAGACCTCTAGGATTGCCTAGGGCTTCCTCCTCTCATTTTCCCTTTTAGCCTTGGACATTTAGGCTTTGGGGTTCAGCCGTTGGTTTTGTTTTAGTTTATTTTTTTGTACCTGGTTGGACCAGAGCATCCAGTAACTGAAGTCTGAGCAGCAACTCCTAAGGGGGAGCAAAGGGAAATGTTAGAGTAGCAACTGCAGTGTCCACAAGATGGGGGGCGTTGGTGGGGAGGATTGGAAGAAGAAAACATTGGTAGAATTTTTGGACTAGGGTAGTCCTAAGGCAAAAAAAAATACAAGGCGATCCCTCAGAGGGATGGCTTTGGAGGCAGAAGGAGCTGGAGGGAGAATTAGCACACCCGGGGAAGAGATGCGCTGAGGGGAAGGGCGGGAGGGGGACCTGCTGGAGAGGGACTGAGGGGTAACATGGCCAAGATAGGGAAAAACAAGCAACTTGGCCTCCCCTTTCAGATCCGCAGCTCTTACTTTGACCTGTAGGTAATGGGCTTTTCTGAATTGTGGCTATAAGACAGAGCTTATATTGAAGAGAGAATAGAGGAAGGAACTGAGAAACGAGCTGCTGCTGGAGTCCTCAAAAAGAGACTACAAGGAAGGAGAGAGTTGTCCACTGGAAGAGGCATTTCTAGCTTGGGCTAAATGAAAATGGAGCAATATCTCTGGTCTAGAAGGGGTGTGTGTGTGTGTATGTGTGTGTGTGTGTGTGTGTGTGAAAGAATTCTGTCTTGAGAGGACTGAGATAGAGCTAAATAAATATACTAGTAGGAAACTGAACAGTTTCAATACTAGAAATGATTTTTATCTTTATTTTTTCCATATTGAGAATGAAGGGAAACTTTATAGAATGAAGTAAATTTCTTATTTTTAATTTTTCCATACTGGGAAGGATGGGAAACTTTATAGAATGAAGTAAATGTCTTCAAATTGGGAGCAAAAAAAGAGAGAGAGAGACTTGCGTTGTTCCTGGAGTAAAGATAGGAATTTCTTTGCCAAGAATGATGGGAAGGAGGCCTTACAGGGAAGAATTTAAAGAGGTGCTGGAGTGAAGGTAATTGCTCAGACGGGGAAGAGATACACCTAAAGGGTTTGCAGTGGGGCTACCAGGGCAGAGAAATAAAGATTTTGGGGCATGGACGAAGAGGATGATGAGTAGGGGATCTTATCTGTGCTCGTCATTCCTTATCACTCAGTCAAAACTCTCCCAACTCCTCTTCACCAAGCCACTCATGTCTAACTTTCCAGTCTTGATCCTCCCCCACCCCCCAAAGTAGTTGAAGAAAGAAAGAAAAAAAAGATAATTCCAGAAATGTTAGACAGAAAATCAGCTTGGGTAATGCTAACACATAGTCTATGCTGAAAATGGTGGGGAAATGAAGACTCCATTTTGGGAGTTGTGTTGGAGCACTCAGTGTGAAAAAAGAGAGTCTCTGCTGCAAGTAATGGGATTGAAACTTGTATATGAGCAGAGTTTGAAGGAAGAATGCTATCTTCAAAACCACAGGAGCTGCTGTCCTAGTATGAATGGGTGATATTGGTCTGAAATTATTAATACTCATTTGCTTAGTGTTTTTCAGTTACTCTCCTTTTAAAATGAAATGATAGGAAAGGCAGGCCAGGGCTTCCCTGGTGGCGCAAGGGTTAAGTCTCAGCACTATGAGGCAATTTGCAGCCTCTGCAGCACAAGTTTGATCCCCAGCTGGCCAAGGAGCAACCCACATGGTGCAGCAGACCTCTCCCGACTTGCCTGCTGCTCCCTTCAGCAGTGTATTTCAGTAGATCTGCCTGTTCTCCCCACTCTGTCTCTGGTGAATCCTCCCACCCCCACACCTCTGGCCTGGACCCCAGCTCTTGTATGCATAAATAAATAAATCTTAAAAAAAAAAAAAAGACAGGCCAATTTGGATAGTGAGTGAAGTTCTTTTTGTTGGGAATTTCAAGTGCTATTTTTTAAAGTTTTGATGAGGGTTAAGGTAGCCCCCACTCTGCTAGAAATAATGAAGATCTGACTACAGAATAGTAGTGCAGTAAAGAAGAAGCTATATTAGTGGGCAAAAAGAAATACTAGGTACAGAAATAACAAGGTAGAAAAGGTATTAAAGCAGTAGGCTGAAAAATTTCTAGATATGGAGTGTGAGGAGCAGAGGGGATAATTGGAGACGGTGTCTCAGTAGGAGTGATAAGAGGGAAGAATTTGAATTGGTGGGGGATATCAAAGTATGAATCAATAGAAGAGCCCAGAGTGGTGCTATCTGGCAAGCCGTTCGTGTCATTTGAACTTTTTTTAATAGCCTCATGAAAAAAGTAAAGAAACAGGTGCAATTAATTTTAATATATATTTACTTTAACCCAAGTGTCCAAAATATTATTTCCAAATTAATCAATATAAAAATTTTAATGAAATGTATTCTCTTTTCACGCTTAGTCTTCTAAATCGAGTCTGTGTTTTACATTCAGCACATCTCAGTTCAGACCACGCAGGCCACAGGTGGTCTGCCCGCGCACGTGGCCAGTGGCGTCGTATCCAACAGGACACAGCTGAGAACAGAGCCATGTGAAGATGGGGGGGGGAAGGAACTCTGAATTGGGTGGATAGTGAAGCCCATGATGGAGAGAAGAGCAGGAGGTGCTAAGGGACAGGAAGGAAGAGAGTTCTGCCTGGACTGGGCTGGGTAGAGATGGTCTCGTGGTGAAGGCATGTGTGAGGTCTGAGAGTAACTAAAGCGAACGTGGAGACGCGGTGCAAACAGGCGTCACAAAGATGGTGGGTGAAGAGCGTGCCGTGTGCTGGGAGGGATGATGAAAAGAGCTGTCCCTGTGGAGAGATGCAGAAGAGAACTTGAAATTTGGCAATGTCTAGAGCAACTGTTTCATTCAGAGAGAAGAGGGTTGGACTGACTGAAGATAAACACTTCAGAGTGAGGGATGGGAACTATTCCACATGTAATTGTCAAATGCATGATGGAATTGCAGTGAGTGAGTGATGTGAAAGATAAGGCCAGTCGTGGGGCGTGGTGACAGAAACATTTGTGGTTGAGATGATGTGCAGTATAAGAAAATAGACTGGGCAAACCTGGGAGTAGCAGCGAGTGAACATTATTTTTAAAAACTAAACAGAAAAAGATTGGTTAATTTCTGAACAAACATTGGCAATAATAATTGAAATCACGTCTGGGGACCAGGGAAGCTTCCTAGCAGCGTGAGGCTTGAGTGCCGGCTGCTGGAAGCTAGAGCACAGTGTAGACGACCACCAGTTTCTCTCTGCACAGGCGTCCAGTGTGACTGTCAAGACATGGTATTTCCTCAGGGGAGAAAAACAGAAAATAATAATGGGACGTGGAAGCAGAGACTTCTGTGATTAGTAACAGGAGTGAGATTCTGCTTGGAGGCGACGGAGCTCCAGGGCGTGTTCTGTGGAAAAGCTGAGGAAGAGCATACACGGGGCACGATTCCATGGACATTTACAGGAAAGACAAACGTTGCGGTAACTCCGTGTGCCGGAAGGACGTGTGTTTCGGAGTCCTAACACACGGGCCAGGTCTTCGCTTTGGCGCTCGCCTGTGCGGCTTGGGCTGAGTGGCTTAATTCAATTTGGGAAGTATTGACTGTGTTTTATTATGGGCTTGGTATAGGCAGGACTTGTGGGAGATTCAAAGTCGTGGGACTTGTCTAGACTTAAGTTGTCTCATGTGTAACATAAAAGTTTGGGTTCAGATGATTTTTCATGTTCCTTTCAATTCCGTGGACTAAAAGCTGATTTTTCTAGCCTTCCTGTTTAAAGCAGGATTGTTA